AAATTAAAAATATGCATATTTAAATAAATTCAACAGATTAATTAATAAAAATATTAAAAAATATATTTTTCATAATAAGGGGGCCAAAAAAGTGTATAAAAAATAGTAAAACACTCAAATCAACCTTTAAAAAATATTGGTAGGGACAGATCCACCTCTCACAAAAATGAAGAGACAAATTGCCCTTTTAAATCATGAATTAAGATAAATCACTTCTTTTTCAATGTTTTTTGTTAAAAATATACTGATGTGGCAAACAAAATTCTGATGTTTTTTTGTTAAAAAATGAGTGATTATTTAAAGAGGCAATTTGTCCCTTTATTTTTGGGAGGGGTGGATCTGTCCCTATCAATATTTTTTAAGGGTTGATTTAGGGGTTTTGCCATAAAAAATTAAGAGATAAAAACTATATAAAATTTTAAAGTTAAAGGACCGAAATTGACATTTAACCTTTATCATCATGAAGTGAAGTTGATAAAAAAAGAAAAAAAATATTAGGTATTCATAATCTATTTTACACTTTCACTAATTTACCTTAATTAAAAGTATGCTTCGACCAGAATTCGTAGTCCATCCAACCAAAGTACCAAACCCATTCTTGGTTTCCAAGCCGGAACCTTATGTTCTTTTTAGATCATGGGCTGGCACATGAGTCGTCAGCCCATTAATTAACCACGTTCCAGTCTTTTTGGATCCTGATGACCCAAAGCTTTTAAACGAAAGAGGAAATAGTTGTGTGACCTGGGGCGTGTGCACATTTCTTAAACTGAATTTCATCGTTTTGCTGTTTGAACGTAAAATAAGAATAATTAAATAAAAAATATTTTTAATATTAAAAAGTTCACTTTAATTAATAGATTAAATTATGTAGTTTAAGACAATTTAAATTACACAGTGCAATTTTTATCACCAAAACACATAAAAGTATTTTTTAGACGATTAACGGTTGATGTGAAAGGTCAAAAATAAACATTACATACAATAAAAGAAAACAGAACTGTCTGTTTGGTTGGTTGGTTGGTTGTGTGAAGCTGCTGGTCAGTAAAATGTAACAGGTGACCAAAGTATGTAAAGTTTCCCAGTCATCCGCTAGATATCATGAACTAGAGGTTGGATCTGCCATGCTGGAAGGGAAGCTCTATCACTATTCATTATTCACATAAGCTCCTGATTGTTTGATTGAAAAAGAAGATATTAGTATGTTTGATGCTGCTTGTAAAAGAAGCTTCTCAAGTTTAAAAGCACAAGTTGTAGGCCAAACACCACTTTAAGAATAGCTTTTCAAAAGCTCTAAAATGTTGCACTTGGAGATTTTAGCATAAAAGAAATTGAGAAGTACGTAAACTTGTTTGGTTTCCTTATGCCATCTCTAAATACAACTTCATAGGTTTGCTAGCCATACTTACAGATTGACTACAAAAGCTAGACAAAAGCAATGGAACCCTACTATCTTGAATACTTGTATCTTATGCATCAATGGTTTAGAAACATCTGAGCACTTATTCTTTAAGTGTAGTTATGCTAGTAGGATATAGAGGCAGATTAGTACTATGATCAATATTCCTTTTGTGGACTTTTGGAAAGATTTATTGCATTGGATGGGGAAAAGGATCAAAAGAAAATCCTTGCTTAGTATTTTGCTCAAACTCTTATGGAATGCCATAATCTATAACATTTGGATAGAAATAAATAAAAAAGTTCATCTACAGCTCTTTAGAAGTGAGGGTACAATCCTTCATGAGGTTCAGTTTGAGATTAGAGCTAGAATGTTGGAGTTTGCTCACCCGAGGACTTCATCACTTCCTATTGCTACTGCAATTCAGTGGGGACTTGAAATAGTTGTGATAGATTAATTTTCAATGCAACAATAGAATGTGTACTAGTTACATGTGCATTTTTCAGTCTCTTTTCTCTGGTAACAGCTCCTATGTTGCTTTATGTGATATTCACAAGTATTTTTGGATAAATAAATTCACCTTTTATTTCAAAAAAAAAAAAATTGAAAGGAAAGGAGGGAAAAAGAAGTACCTTATTTTAATTTGTTTAGATTCATTTACAAGTCTGAATAAGAAGAGAGGAGGAGAGAGAAGAAAAAATATATATATTACATCATTTCATTTTTTACCT